TTCTAAACGCTTCGCTAGTGCTCGCCATAGTAGGAAAGAAAAAGCTCTTACTTTGCTTTTTGGAATGCACGCTTCAAACAGACCGGTCAGTGAAGACGAAGAAGAGAATGATGTGTGCTCCCGGCGCCAATTTATACTATAGTCGCACCGGTAGTGACGTCATGGCTGTCGCCGGCCAACGAGTTGGTGTTTTTCTATGTATGCTTCAGACACGGGTCACGACGAGGCGTTCCCCATAGCGACCCCTAGAGGACGCAGTTCGAAGTTCCCATGAAAGGGAACTTGCCTTACAGGATGATTATCTCTTTGTCCCTGTAGATTCACCCAGTATGCCATTGCTAGTTTCTGTCTTCTTATAATTAATGGCATTTCTGATGTTTCTACTTGTAATGCTGCAATGGGTGTGGTTTTAACTGCTCCTAAAATGAGTCTTAATGCCTTAGCTTGCATGACATCTAATTTCTTTAACAACGTTGATGATGCTGACTCATAAACAATGCATCCATAGTGTAGGGTTGATCGCATAAGACCAACATAAATGCCCTTTAATGACTGTTTGTCAGCACCCCAATCTTGTCCTGCTACTGCTCTCATTAAATTTAAAATGTTTCCACATTTCTTTAATATAAAATCTATATGGTCCTTCCATGATAATTTGTCATCAAACCATAATCCTAGATACTTAAATTTTGACACTTTCTCTAAAGAAGTCCCATATAATTTAAGCAGTTTATTCTATTTAATTTTCTTCCTTGTAAATATCTGGTAACATGTTTTAGATATTGAGAATTTAAATCCCCATTCTAACGACCATTTTTCAACTACTTCTATAGCTTCTTGAATTTTATTCATATTAAAATATATATTCCTTCCTCTTTTCCACATTATACCATCGTCTGCATATAACCCAGTGCTAATTCCCGGAGCCACTTTTCCAAATATATCATTAATCATTATATTAAATAATACAGGACTAATCACATTTCCCTGAGGTGTTCCGTTTTCCACACTTAGAGTTTGAGATACTTCACCACCCACTTTAACTTGAATTGTTCTGTCAAATAAAAAACTTAAAACCCAATTATACATTCTTCCTTCTACTCCAATACTCTTCATTTTAATAAGTAATCCCTCCTTCCACAACATGTCATATGCCTTTTCCATATCAAAGTAAACTGCCACTAATCCCTCTTTAACTGCTATAGCTTTCTTTACATCTGTTTCCAGCTTTACTAATGCATCTAATGTTGATCGTCCTTTCCTAAAACCATATTGATTAGATGCCAAAGCTCCCTTACCCTCAAGTACATAATGAAGCCTGTTTACAATTATTTTTTCCATCAGCTTACATAAATTTGATGTAAGCGCTATTGGCCTGTAATTCCCTGCTATCGATGCATCTTTCCCTGGTTTAGCTACTGGAATTATTATAGCATGTTTCCATGACCTAGGCAGTCTTCCTTCTGCCCATATTTTATTATACAAGTCCAATACTGCTTTAAGAATTCTATCATTTGCGTATTTAAGCATAATATAACAAATTCCATCTTGTCCAGGTGCTGTTCGTTTTATCCTATGTAGTACCCTTTTAAGTTCCCATATTTCAAAGTTAGCATCTAATGCCCCTTTCCATCATGTCTCTTAGTATAAATAACATGATGTTGATTCAAAATTCCCTGTCTTTTCATTCTATACTTCTCATCTAGATTTTCTGTACTGTGAGCTTTCTGAAAGGTTTTAACTAATAATTCTGCCTTGTCCTTTTCTGTAATAGCTGTCCTTCCTTCTCCTGAGATAACTGGTATATTCCTGGTTTTATATACTCCAATCATCTTCTTTAACATGCTCCATACCTCTCCTAATTCAGTTTCCTTCCCTATGGAAGCACAATACTCTCTCCAATATTTATTTTTTCCCTGCTTAATTGTCCTTCTAGCCTTTGCTCTCTCCCTCTGATATTCTACTGCTTCTGATGTCAGAGTTCTTTTCAGTCTTTTAAATGCTTTATTTCTGCTTTTAATTGAATTACTGCATTCATCGTTCCACCATGGAACAGCTTTCTTCCTCCCATTTCCTTCAACTTTTGGTATACATTCTTCTGCCGCGTTGACTAAAATCAAAATTAATTTCTCTGTACAATTATCAATATCATCCTCTGTACTATAATTCTTTAATTCTAACTCACGTATTTTATTATACTTCTCCCAATCAGCTTTTCCAAATTTCCATCTATATTGTTTTACCATCCTACTCCTTTGCATTTCTAATCCTCCCGTACAAATTATTGGAAAATGGTCACTCCCAACTGATGACTGTTCTAACACCTCCCATTGACATTTTGCTGCTATTGACGCTGAAACTATTGTTATGTCTACGCATGATTTTATTTGTTTCCTAATGTCAAACCTTGTCCCACTACCATCATTTAAGCATACCAACTCAGAGTCTGAGCCTCTGTCTTTGCGTTTCTGAGACAACTGCTCAACCTGAATCCATTCATTAGAATTCATGTTATTTGAATCATCCTCTTCATCTAAACTACCCCCTTCACTCTCTTCATTCACACCACAGCTGTCGCTTAACCCGCCATGCTG